TAGCAGTGTAACACTAGAGGGAAGGCAGCTAGTCATCATCACCCACCGTCAACTCTTTTATCAACGAATAGTGGGATTGACCGTTACATTATAACGTCCCCATGGCTGAAAAGGGCGAGCATGTTTGGAGTAACAGATTACAAGTCGAGCGCCCTAACCACCTGGGCAAGGTTAAAGAAGTAAAGCATTAAGTTGGTAAGCAAATGAAATTTGACAAACAGATTAAATAAAATTAGTTACTATAAAAATAAAGTTATATGAAACAAATTACGTTTTGGCCTTGAAGACCAATACGTACAGTTAATGAAACACTGCTGTACAATGTCTGATAATTTAGCTTTATATAATGAAGTCATAAAGGAATTACTTATTGAAAATTCTATTATATGTTGTTATTTTCTTAACACAGTCTTTAGCGTATTTTTAGCCGCGGCTATGAGTTGGTACAAGCTTTTAACTCATAGCTTCGCCATCTTTTGGCCGATTTGAGATCTAATGACAGTTTTGGACTCGAGAGGTTAAATCCTTCCGATTGACGTTTTGAGGGTAGACTGGAAGAGGTCCTGATGAGTAATAAAACTGAATCGGGTATAAGTGCGCCCCAGCTTGGTATTGCTGGCGCACAAAGATATAAAGACGAAAACAAAAAGGTATCATAAATTAATTTACTCTAATTCTGCCTAAGAGAATATCAAGTGCCGCGGGTATTGAGGGTTCCCTCTTTTTACATATAAAAATATTACCTAACGTCAATAATTCAAAGGCTATTTAAGTAGTACACATGTATTTATAGTCAGTAAATTTAAAGGGTACACATATATATGTGTAAATATCAGTAAATTTAAATAGTACACACATATTTATAGTCAGTAAATTTAAATAGTACACACATATTTATAGTCAGTAAATATAAATGGTGCACACATATTTATAGTCAGTAAATATAAATGGTGCACACATATTTATGGTTAGTAAATTTAAACAGTACAGATATATTTATGGTCAGTAAATTGAAGTAGTACACATATATTTAAGGTCAGTAAATATAAATAGTACACATATATTTATAATCAGTAAATTTAAATAGAACACATATATTTATGGTCAGTAAACTTAAATAGTACACATATACTTATGGTCAGTAAATTGAAATAGTACACATATATTTATGGTCAGTAAACTTAAACAGTACACATATATTTATGGTCAGTAAACTTAAACAGTACACATATATTTATGGTCAGTAAACTTAAACAGTACACATATATTTATGGTCAGTAATTATAAATGGTACACACATATTTATAGTTAGTAAATTTAAATCGTACACACATATTTATAGTTAGTAAATTTAAACAGTACACATATATTTATGGTCAGTAAACTTAAACAGTACACATATATTTATGGTCAGTAAATTTAAACAGTACACATATATTTATGGTCAGTAATTATAAATGGTACACACATATTTATAGTCAGTAAATTTAAATCGTTCACACATATTTATAGTTAGTAAATTTAAACAGTACACATATATTTATGGTCAGTAAATATAAATGGTACACATATATTTAACGGAAAACTCTACATCTCATCAGTAACTATAGACAAGGGCAAATCGAAAGAACAAAAATAATTTTGGTACCGACGGATTATTTTTTTATTTGAGGAGCTAAAAATAGTTTTGAAAATATCTGTCATCATTAGAATTGTAAAATATCAAAAAACAATTATATTTTCATTTTTCCTTTAATTTTTTTAATTAAAAAACAAATGTTTAGAACAGCAAATTAACATTAATTTCATAAAACCTAAGCTATTCTGAATGTGGTACGCAATTACCATAATTATGCATAACTCAAAACTACGGTTGTTCAAAACGTTATTAACAGACTAGTGAATACTATAGCAGTTTGCCGTCTTGCTTACAAGTAGCTGGCCTATATACAAAAATGTAGTAAGCTTATGACAAATTAGCTTAAAATATCGTTATAAAATTTACAGTTAGCGGCCAATACAGAAATTCGATTCTAACCATCTGCGTTCAGACGTTGCACCAGGATACAGAAATATATATGTTATGCACAATCCAGTTAAACTCCTACAGAAATCCTTGTTCACTTTAAGTACAAGTTCAATGAATATCATTTCTGTTACAAGCGCCTCTCTCCCCATCTGGTTTTCCTTACCTGCCCGTAATAAATAAACAAAAAGTTGTGTCAATGACAGATCGTTGGTAATGAGATTTGTAATTCAGTCCAAACTTCAACAAGGTTTCGTGATTTAAGGAAAACGTCATCATTAACAGTACGTTAGAATCTTCACACTTAGGTTTATTAGTAAACCTACATGTAAATCAAATATATCGTATTACTTCGCGTATCATAGTAACAAGAAATTTATGCTACTCGACAGTGGTACAAAACATTGGTCATTTTGGATGTAAAACTAACTTTTATATTAAATCAATCACTAATTATAATGTATACGGTTGGACGTTCAACATTATTAAACCAAGTTCATTTTCAGCTATCCCTAATAGCATGCAGCTTTATTTTCATTATTTTACATATTTGATTATTTTTTATGAATTTCTTTATGTGAGACTGACGGACAGAGTTTAAGACTGATAGACGGTGTATCCTCACCGCAATACGAAAAGCTAGTATTCCTATTAGCACTTCAAGCAAACAGAATTCTACACATTAATACTTTTACTGAAAGTTAATTACTGAAACGGAGACGTCTTGCCATCGGTGATGTTACTGACATCACAAAGTTAAACATGGCAGTTAGTTGTCACGGTAGGCCTAGTTCGAGGTCTCTGTCCTCATAAAATATCATAAATAAACACAGTAAACGTCCATATGCAGAATTAATTATAATATAATATGGTGACTGTATTTCTCAAATCGCAATGAATTTAATAGTCAGCAATAAGCACTTGCGTAAGCCTAAATATCAATTGTCATAGTCGCAGTTTTAAACTGATAAGTCAATAGTAGAAGATCCGTAGAAAGAATAATAATTTATATAGTTCTGTTCAATAACGAAAAAAAAAATTAAAAAATCGGTCATAATATCATAAAACAGTTTTAATGATTTATATTCCAATGTAAGTACTTTCAATATTATAACCTTTTTTATATTCGAGAGGTAAAATATTTAATAATTTTCTTAAAAAATGCACTTGTTTGTTTCAAATATTTGCGCAAGGCAACACAAAGATTATCTGCGCTCTCACTAATTTTGACGCCCCCATAAGTCTGCGGACTTACAACGCTAGAAACCGGGTTTCGATAACCGTGGTGGGCAGACCACAGATAGCCCTTGTGCATGATTAATAACAAACAAACACTAATTTTGAAATGAGAGAATACAGGTAAGGCAGCTAGTCAATAATACTCACTGCCATCTGTTGGAGTATTCTATCACTTAATGGGATTTAACCGTCATTATTAACCAAGTCAGAGGACTTCTTTCTCGTGTATTTATAGCAATTTACTTAAATAATTAAATTTAGGTCTTATTACTTTGTACTGATGGTGTACGTGTTGAAGTTTTAATGTTCTTCGTAAATATTTTTTCTTCTGTTCCCCTTACACTATTACTGACGTACTATTGAATAAAAACCCTATAACCCGAGTTTGTCCCTGAAGAAGAAAGGTTCACTTTTCGAAACGGCTCGGGTTATAGGGTTTTTTATTCATTTCTATCAAGATTTCTTGAACCTACGTGTTTTTCTTATATCATGGCTGACATGCTATTGCCACTTTTATGTTATATATATTTTTATTCCTCTCATGTTATTATGAAACAGATAATAATTTTAAAACTAGCAGATGAAACGTTTGAATCAGTATATACAATTAATTTAAGTTTTGAAAGTTGTAGCTGACACCCAGAGTGTGAGCCCTAAATTAAGGCGCTTTTGTACAGAAATATATCACTTATTATACGTTTCTAGGTACATTAGTCATTTTGTTTTAACATGTATTTTGAAAACAACCGCTACATCCAATTATTATTTTTAATAAATGGGTTACAGCAGGGTAAAAAGGAAATCAATACTTCTGAAAGAATGAAAATAAAATCTTTATAAAAACAACCAGAACCAAGTTAATAGAAAAGTGATAGCAATGATAAAATATAAATTTATTACTAGCAACAGTTAAATAACGCAGTTACATTTGAACTTGCATGCCAATACCCTGTTTGAACGAAGGCCATTAGATGAGTCTACTTTAGACGTTTACCATGTAACGATGCCATCTATCGAGCAATTAAGAAAACAGCATTTTAAAATAGTAACTTGTTTTCGAAGGCATTTATCGCCTCGAAATTTAACCAATTAAAAAAAAAAAAGAAGACAAAACAACAAAAAACAAACAAACACTAATCTCACTGTCAAAGAATACTGTTTTTTTAAGAGGAGCATCATAAACTTTCCTTACTGATTTAATATATGTGACAAAGTTACAATAAACTATATATTGTTCAGTACAATATACATCTGTCTTCTTTAACTGAAATATTACCTTTATTAGGCATTTCAAAAATATGATTCACTAATACATACATATATATAATTATTATTGAAACAGATATAAACAAGTTTACGCAAACTACTAATTAATCAATCAATGAACATGAAAATTTAAATAATCACAGACTTGAAATTTCTTGAATCTTAACTCACTTCGGTCGTACTTTCTCCCAGTTGATAATGAAATTAAATGTAGCTCAGTGCCTGTTACTTAACACACTGGCATCTATATAAATTATGATGTTATATTTATGCAAATTTTGTGAATTTACCCAAATATATGTACTTTGTAATTTCTTTTTATTTCCTTTCCATGGCCCCCCCAGTGGCACAGCGGTATGTCTGCGGACTTACAACGCTAGAATCCGGGCTTCGATATGGTGGGCAGAGCACAGATGGCCCATTGTGTTGCTTTGTGCTTAACTTCATGCAAACAAACCTTTCCGTGTTGTAAACATATTGAGCAACGCCACCTTTCGGTGAGATTTGACCCTAATTGCTAATGAAGTAGGTAGATAAGTAGTTTGTTTCAGTGTAAAGCTACACAATGAGCTATATATGTTCTCTGAACCCCAAATTTTAGTGTTTTAAGTCCTTAAATTTACCAGTGACCCACTGGGGAACTACTCAATTAGGAAACATTACTTTATAAATACAAAATATATTCTAGAAATTTGTTATTCTGATAATCATCAACAGTAAAATATGTCATTTTACAAATGATGACGGTGAAAATTACTTCTAATTAAATTCTACTTCATGACATCAGCTAGGATCTTCTTGAAGTCTTCCAATGTTTGCTACATATGATGATATCATTCGTAGATTATCCACTCCTTCTAACAAACACCTGTAAAGATACAAAACACTTGAACAACTCCTACTATCACATCTGCTTGTAAATCATGTACTTCTAGAACCTCATACTTGGGTTACTTCGAAAACAACAAGAGGTTAATTTTTAAAAAAATTAAATAGTGCGACATGGATAATTGAGAGTATTAAATACCGGAAATAAGTAGACTTCTAGTCAAGATATCTTGGAAAAAAGTATTGTTTTACTCTCTAATCAAAACCAAAAGTTTTCAAAACTTCCTTGTTGTTAAGGTTTAAGAAAATATAAGCCTTTGTCAAATTTTGTATTCTTAAAATCTACTTGGTTTCCATAGAATTCAGTTTAGCCATCAAACATGTAATCATAACTCACTATTCTTATGTTGTCATAAGGGCCTCCAATATTTTATTAGAACAGTTACTTTTACATTTCCTAAACCTTAACTCACTATTCTTATGTTGTCACAAGGGCCTCCAATATTTTAATACAACAGTTACTTTTACATTT